TTGAATTTCGAGGCTTATTCCATGCATCAGGTGCCATATTTCCATGTTTCGGGACCATTTAGCATCACGTTTCAGCGCTGGAAATTACATGTTTGTATGCCATCTTTCATCCCTTGCCATGCTTTGTTAGAGTGGTATTTTATGCTTTAGGTTCGGTCTTCGATATGCGTGCACGTGTGCACGCATTTCGGTTGTCTCTTCTCCATCTCATGGCCACTGATGTGAGTGTGGCTGAGGTCCACTCATGTTGGTGTAAGTCCATCATGCATTGTGTATGCCGTTTCGTTTCATAGCATTGCGTATGTTAGGTTCCATGTTAGAGCATTGTGTATGTTAGGTTGTATGTTATTCGCATTGTGTATGCCATCTCATTCGCATTGTGTTTGGGATAGGAGTTAGCCCAAGCACGGGAAACGAGGGACGTTTCGTACTCTGAGTGACGGAACGTGTCTCAATTTCCGGTCGCCAACACTCCGGATTACCCATGATGGAGTCTAGGTATTGTTGTGTTTTCATGTGCATTCATTTCACATCGAGTCGTGCAATTCGACTCCTCGGCCATCATGCATTAAGATGTGTAATTGGTGGCACGAGGATCGAGGACTACACTCCTTGAAGAGTAGTCATGCATACATATGTGAAAATACTTTGCCATGCCCCTTTCTTGCTCTCTGTTGCAGCAAATCAGAAATCAGCAGCTTTCTAAAGCCTTGCACAGCATTCCGACATTAATTGCAAACAGAGGCGAATCGGGCATCGTAATAGATTTTCGCGCCAGGCAACTCAAGCATGCATCTCCCATCATTCGGAACAGAGCTGAGGCAGTCCATAGGCTTGCATGCTAATTTACTCGCTTTCCTAGATTAATTTGTTAATTAATTAGGGTTTTGTAATATTTAATTATTCATTTCGGACTGTATTATCATTCGGACTGTATTATTCTTTCGGACCCTCCGAGTGAAGGCACAATTGTAATAAGTGTGCATGTGTGTGATGTATGTTTTCCAACCCCACGTCTTTCTCCCTTTTATTTACCAGCTTATGATGGTTAGATTAGGGCATGTTTTAATTAGCATACAGTATGATAGCATGTTTGCATCATTCATCTGTATTGCATGCACCGAGCTCGGCGCATCAAACTAACTGCATTTGTATTTCAAATTCCAAATTGAATATGTGCTAGCTGTAGCATCATCATATGCCATGTTTAGAATAGCCGAGCCTATCTTAGTTGCATTTTGCATGTGTTACATTAGGCATTTCAGCATAGTTAGGATCATGCATTGATTTCTAACATAGTTTCTGTTTCGCCTTGGAGTACTAGGTAAGCTTTTATGCTGTAGCATCCTTGCATGTGTGTGAGTGACTGCCATGATAGCATGCTTACCATGAGGCTATGTGCTTATATGATATACCTGCCTGAAAGCCTGTGAGTGAAGGTTGGGTTATCCGAATTGGAATAATTCATTAATTGTGAGTTTTAAAGCCCACTAGATAGTGGCAAAATCATGTTTTTCTAAGCTTACCCGAGGGTGGCAAATCCACGTCTTAGCCTACTTGCGGGTAGCACCATCAAACCATTTTCAAATAAACAAATATGAAATGTTTTGTTCCAATTCAGGCGACCCAGTCTATACTTGTATGCTGTGCGCATCACATAGTAAATCTAGGCTAATAACCAGAATAAGAACGCATAATGTTTTCAAAACTAGATATCATAATTAGTAGAGGCCGATCTTTGATCGGGTGAGGGGGGGTGCTCACGAAGTGACCTTCTCCAATCGTACCCAAGTTCTCGAGCCGAGGCAACTTTGGTGATGACGGACACGTGGCCTTAAGCAACGAGTCAGGATTTCCTAAATTTTCCAAAATAAAATATTTAGGTGGCGACTCTGTATCTGGTAAAGCAATCCATGTTTGGCACTTCTTTCAAAAAAATATGTTTTCAAAAACGATTTGCCAAATTTGGACTCTTTGATGATTTCATTGGTCTTGCATTGCACTCTGCGAGATTAGATACAGGACCGTGACAATTGAGTCCGAACTGTAGTGAGGCCCAAGGGCGCGTCTACAGTATGAAATCAAGGCATAACCAAAATTGGTGACAAAATTTATACGTGATTGCCCCAGATAGTAATGTTAACATTATTAATAATCAGAACATGAATATATATCGACTATAAAAATTGCATCATGACTTAGTAGAGGTCGATCTTTTGATCGGGTGAGCGGGGTGCTCAATTCATGATCTTCCCCTCTCATATCTAAGTTCCCGAACCGAGACACTTTGGCTATGATAGACAGTGTCCTTTGGCATGAGTCACGGGTTTTCTAATTTTCCCAAAAGATTATGTGGCAACTTTGAGATTTAGTGAAGTAGTCATTTTGCAACAAAATGAATTTTTTGTATAAGTTGTCGAATGTAGACTCTCATTTATGTTGCATATTGCACTTGTGAGACTAGATCAAGAGATTAGGAGTCAAAATTGTTAGACATACTTAGTAACCCCAAAGGCATTCCACATGGACTTACGTGTAGGTTCTAATAGGTGAACTTATTGTCTAATAGGTCCTGTGAGAATTAATGAAATTTTTCATCAAGCACTATTAAAATAACATCACTAATTGTTAATTTGTAGCGATAGTCTGAAAATTTTATCACAAAAAATGTCACTAATTATAAGTTTTAGCAATAGTTTAAAAAAATCGTCACAAAAAAGCGTCACTATAATTTTCAACTTTCAGCGACAGTTTAAAAAATCCGTCACAGAAAAACATCACTAATTGTAAGTTTTAGTGATAATTTATAAAAATCGTGATATAAAAAGTCACTAATTATCAATTTTTAACAACATATGTAAAAAATCGTCATAAAAAATTATTTTTTGCGACGATTTTACTATGACTTATTTTCAATAGGACTTAATGTGAATTAAGTCAAACTATTAGGATTTATTGGTAGTTCACCCTTTATTTTTTTGGGACTCAACAATCTCCCATACAAGGATACCATATTTGAGTGAACTATTGGTTTAAATCTTAATTTTCTTAACGAAACATTACATTATGTATTTTATTAAATTATTGATTCAATTCCAAAGGCATGTCCGTTCATAAAAAATGACATGGTAAATTATAATCTTTAAAGTTTGCTTAAAATATAGATGCTCCTTATTATTCTGGAAATTATATCACACCCCATCAAGTTTCTGATCGTATAACAGATTATCTATTTTATTAAAAAAATTATCAATTCAATCAACAGTTTTTAATTATATCCTAAATATATTTTAAGTAATAATTTAAATAATTTTATTGTTATATAAGAGAGCAGTTATGGATTTTAATTTTTTTGTTAATTTTCTTAAATAAAAATTATGATAATAAAATATTTATAATTTTTAAAATCATAAAGTACAATTTATATTTTAAATAAAATTTAAAAAGTAAATCTATAATTTATCTAAAATATTATAATATGGTGTTTTGAATTAAATTACTCAAATGTGAAATAAATAATGAAGTCAATGGTTGATAGGGGAGCCTAGAATTAGCTTGTGCACATGGGGCTGCTTCTGCCTTACCTGTCCACATCATTGATTAACAATCATACTCATCTTAGCTAAGAAGATACCAAAAAGTCTTCGTTCAAAAAAAAAAAAAAAAAAAAAAAAAAAAAAAACAAAAAAAAAAAACCTAAAAGTCGTATCTTAGACCCGGTAAGCAAAACAATTTATGAAATTATACACTCTAATAAATAGACCGGTTTGTCACCAGTTTTTCATCGAACTTGAGTATACTGTTCTGTTCAATGCGTCTACTTTTAAATTCTGTTTTAATAATTTAAGGTGTTCATATTTTAAGAATCGTCAAATATATTATTTTTATACAAAACAATTTATGAAATTATACACTCTAATAAATAGACCGGTTTGTCACCAGTTTTTCATCGAACTTGAGTATACTGTTCTGTTCAATGCGTCTACTTTTAAATTCTGTTTTAATAATTTAAGGTGTTTATATTTTAAGAATAGTCAAATATATTATTTTTATAAAAAATCAAATTGATCATATAGTATCAATTATATGTTTGGATAAATTTTGTATAAAAAAAAAAATGAACAATAAGAAAGTAAACGGTTTCCGTTATTTGACCGATTTGATTTTTTGTAAGGATTATATACTCGATAAAGTTTAAAATGTGAACGACTCGAATTATTGAAATAAGGTCCAAAAGTAAATCCATTAGACCGGCCTAGACAGTCTAGTCCAATGAAGGATTGGAGACAATCCAATCTCTAAATAAATATACCCCATACCTAACCTTTCTGAAAAATTCAACTCACTGGCCGTCGATGATCCGAGTTTCAGAAAATTTATTCATCCATGTTTCTTATAAGAAAAAATGTCTATTTTGGGGTGTTTGGGAAGTTGGGTACATGATTTTTTTTGGTTAAAATAGTCAGTAAAGATAAAAAAATCTAAAATAATTAATAAAACAAAATATCATATGTAAATCATAATTATTTCATTTTTTTTCTCACAATCGTCAAGTCAATTATTAGAAAAAGCCAACTATCATTCCAAACTCAAGAGTTTTAATCATGTTAAAATAGTCAAAAAGTTAAAAAGTCAATTAAAATAGCAAAGGTTCCAAACGAGCCCTTACTTTTAATAGAAAAGTAACAGGAAGGACAAAATCATATGTAGATGGCATGCATATTCTCTTTACTATTTGTCTAATGTATTTTTAGTCGGACGATAAGTTAGGAATCTCAAAATATGACTGTTTATATGGCAACTAAAAAAAAAAAAGAAGGTAAAAATATAACATATTGTAACTATACAAGCACAAAACGACATAGAAAGAAGAAATTAACTATAGTAGTGAGTAGATGTTTTCACTAAAAGAAAAAAAAAAAAATAAGAATAATAATAAAAGAAAAAATCATTGTCTCTCAATATCTTGTTGACCATCATCACCATGGCCACGGGATTGCTTACGTGTAGGTTCTAATAGTAAGCATCCTCCGAAAAGAGCTCAAGCGCGAGGAGCTCGATCCACCAACCTTTGCAGAAGATTGTAACCCACCATCGGCTGATGTCCCTTCCACTCTTGTTACAAGTACAGAATTCACACGTTCCAGTGGTGGAGGGGAGGGTGGTGGTAGCGGTGGTGCACCACCAGCCACAGCTTCGCAGGGCTGAGCATCAGTTCGACAAATAGGACATGTTGAGTGTGAACCAAGCCATCTATCAATGCACTCTGCATGGAAGGTATGGTTACAGTTTGGTAAAAGCCTAGCCATTTCATCCTCCTCTAATATGCTCAAACAAACCGCACACTCAATTGTCCTTGTCTCGTCCTTGGTAGTATCAGCTTGTTTGAAAACAAATACCGGAAGAGAGGCGATGACAGACGGGTCAAGCCCGGTCTTGGGCGGTGGTTCAATAGTTGTCTGTAGCTGAGAAATTGCCAGCCCTAGCTGTTGAAGTCGAATGGAGGAAGATCTATGGCGAGCTCGTTGTCGAAGGACACATCTTGCATATATGTGAAGAATGACGACAAGAAAAACCACAAAGCATAATGAAACAACGGCTGTGACCATGAGCCTGCTGTTTTGATCATAAGGAGGAGCAATTGTCGGAGGTGGATCCATGGTGTTTGTTTTTGCGAAATTGGGGTGGAAACGGAACAACTCTTTGCATATATAAATTCTTAAGTTTATGAATTTGGTCTCTTTCTTCTTATTTCGTATGAATGTGATTTGTGATGGATGTTGGGTTAATTTTTCAAATGGAAAGGAAAAATAATGAATAAATTGCGGTAGTCTCAATTTTTTGAAGAGTTGACTGTTGAATGTTGACTTCCATCTTTCGCAATTTCTTATTTTCTAACATTTTGTTTTTTTAATAATAATAATAATAATAATAAAAAACCCACTTGCTTTATTTTTATTTTAAAATCTGTGTACGGTGAGTGTTTTAATATTCTTTTCCCATTGTTTGCGTAAAGGCGATGGTTAAGATATATCAGCTCATCAATTACCAATTATTCATTATTTATTTATTTTGTATTTATTTACAGTAATTCTTTACAAACGATATGTGGCTCATATTAGTGACCTTTCACTCTAAAATAAAATATGTTTAAAGATGAGTTTATTTATATTAATGACGTTATCACATTATTTTTTTGAAATTTATTTACAATAATAAAATTGCATGAGGGTCATAAAATCACATTGGATAAATATTTGGGCTAAAATTAATGAGATAAGCAATTTTAGTCAAAATAGATAAGTTGTTTATGTTTATTTGAGATAACAAAAACCTATTTCAGAAATAATATACATACGATGATAAACATATTATAGTAGAATATTTCTTGATGAAAAGTTAATTTATTCGTTATACTTTGTGACGTATTTATATACAAGTTTACAATCTTTCTATCTCTACATAATCAATTAGAATCTGTGGGGACATAATTTTTGAATGACAACAACGGGCTGAGGTGTCACCGAAATGCCAGCCGAGGTGCCACGTGTCCTGGTCATGATGCTGAGATGATCTCGGCTAGGCCGATGTTATCTGCGAAGATGTCGGAATCTGAGATAAGCGGATAAGGGACAAGAGTCCTAGAATGAGAGAAAACTTCAGTTTGGATAAAGATAAGACTCTTAAAGGGTTTATCTTAATCATACTGGGAGTCCAAGATTAGCAGTAATCCTAAGTCCATTAGAGTTAGGCTTCTATTGAGACTAAGATTGAGTTTACTATAAAAGAGAGGCACCTCCATGGGTCTAAGGTATGCTTTTGATATTCTGTCTAGTGAGTTAAGCACTATTGATTATCCTTGAGAGATATACTGACTTGATCGTCGGAGTGCCCCCAGATGGAAGAACCACTGCCGGAATCTTCTCTTTCTGTTACAGGTCAGGTAGGTGTCATCTATTCTGCCAGTTCTGTCTAGCTGAAAACTGAGTTGGACACTGTGATCGGAAAATCACTCACACAATTTGGCACCGTCAGTGGGAATGAAAAGGAGAATAGATAGCTAACGACAGACCGAAAGAGAAGGTTGGGGACGACACCCCTACTGAGAGTGGGAAACATATTGACCTTGGCGTCGAAGAAGACAACTACAACGAAGAAACTCGTGATAAGAATCACGGAGAAGAGGACGTCGGCCAGGAGGGCGACGTGCCGAAGAAATTAGACCGAGGCGAGTATTATAACGAGGACGACCTCCAGGTACGGAAAGAAAGATGCTTACAAAGGGACGACGAGATGAAAGAAATGGCGAACAAATTGGTGGACCTGCAAATGGTTGTCAATTTCATGATACAGAGCAACGTCATGTAGCCACCGTTCCCGTCACAAGATACGCCGATTCTGGCAGCCAAGAAAGATGCCCAGGTAGGGGGGCAGAAGACAACTCCTACGACTCCTCAGCACGATAGGACCAAGGAACATTCTCACCGGCCTTCAAGGGAGGTCGGACGAGGAGAATCAAGAAGGGGAGATTCACAAAGGACACATCGCACCAAGGAAGCTGACTCCAAAGAACATCGGCATGTTCAGGGGAAGGACCTCAGTTTCGACGCAACCAATGGAGGGAGGTCCAAAAGGACTCGCAATGACATAGTAAGTAGTGCACCAAAGAGGCTGAAATTCGGAGATAGCTGAGCTCCTGGACGAATCAAAGAGGATCTGAGGGATTACCTCCAGAGAAAGCGACAAGATGCCGAGGTGACCTCACCTGTCAAGTTGAGATGACACTGGATATGAAAAGACAAGAGCTCAGCCCAAGTAAGCCGATCTCGGATTCCAGATCTCGGATCCCAGATCCCATAAGACAAAATCTCGGCCTAAGATGATTAAGTCCGAGAAGAGAAGAGTTTATCGAGATGATGTTTAACACTTGTTGAAACTTGAGAAAAGTTTACAAGTTGAAATTAAACCGAGATGATATTTAACACTTGTTGAAACTTGAGAAAAGTTTATAAGTTGAAGTTAAACCGAGATGATGTTTAACACTTGTTGAGAAAAGTTTACAAGTTGAAGTTAAACCGAGATGATGTTTAACACTTGTTGAGAAAAGTTTATAAGTTGAAGTTAAACCGAGATGATGTTTAACACTTATTGAAACTTGAGAAAAGTTTACAAGGTGAAGCTAAACCGAGATGATGTTTAACACTTGTTGAAACTTGAGAAAAGTTTACAAGTTGAAGTTAAACCGGGGTCATGATTTTTGAATGACAACACGTGGCCGTGGTGTCACCGAAGTGCCGGCCGAGGTGTCACCGAAGTGCCAGCCAAGGTGCCACGTGTCCTGCTCATGATGCCGAGATGATCTCGGCTAGGCCGAGGTTATCTGCGAAGATGTCGGAATCCGAGATAAGCGAATAAGGGACAAGAGTCCTAGAATGAGAGAAGACTTCAGTTTGGGTAAAGATAAGACTCTTAGAGGGTTTATCCTAATCATACTGGGAGTCCAAGATTAGCAGTAATCCTAAGTCTATCAGAGCTAGACTTCTATTGGGACTAGGATTGAGTTTGCTATAAAAGAGAGGCACCCCCATGGGTCTAAGGTATGCTTTTGATATTCTGTCTAGTGAGTTAAGCACTATTGATTATCTTTGAGAGATGTACTGACTTGATCGTCGGAGTGTCCCTGGGTGGAAGAACCACCGCCGGAATCTTCTCTTTCTGTTGCAGGTCAGCTAGGTGTCATCTATTCTGCCAGTTCTCTCCAGCTGAATACTGAGTTGGGTAGTGTAATTGGAAAATCACTCACACAAAATCAATCCAAAAATATCCTAACTAAAATAGATACAGCAGAACATGGAAGGAACTCCTTGATTTAAGCATAGCTAGCTGGAGCCCCTTGATGTGTGCTGATTTCACTACTACAAAATTATAAATTTACGAATTTTAAGTGTGATATATGTTATTTAATCATAGGTTTTTTATTTTGTCAAAGCGTGATATTTGAGAGTATCATTGTTAAGGTTCATTTTCGATAACACTTTTTGACCGTCATTAACACTCTGTTTGATTAGAAAGAAACATATGATAGAAAGTGAAGTGAAAGAAATAAAGAGAAATGAAATTTTATTTTCTTGCATGTGTTTGACTAGGATGAAATTATGTAAGAAAATGATGGAAAATTTTCAATATGTAGTTTGGAAAGCGTGAAAGTTGTAGAAAAATTATTTTATTTTCCTAAATTGCCCTACAATTACAAAAATATGTCAATATAGCAACTTAATTTTTTAAAAATGTATCGCCAATCATCAATTGACATGATTGATGATTTTTTATTAGCGATACATAAATAATGACGGTCATCAATTGACATGATCATCAATAAATAAGTGTATCGCCAATCATAATTTTTTAAAAAATGTATCGCCAATCATCAATTGGCATGCTCATCAATAAAAATTATATGATTAATTTTTAAAAATTAATTTTACATGATCATCATCCAAATACATAATAAAAATTAATTTGGTAAAAAACAAATAAATAAATGCATTGCCAATTAATCATATTGGCGATACATTTTATTTTATTTATAAAATAAAATAAATAAAAATTTTATTTATTTATTTATAAAATAAACAAATAAAATTAATTTTTATTGATGATCATGTCAATAAGATTATTTAATTTTTTAAAAAATGTATCGCCAATTAATCATATAATGTATCGCCAATCATAATTTTTTAAAAATTAATCATGTCATCCAATATTATTTATTTATTTATTTATTCATTTATTTTTGATTTAACCAAAAATGCTAACAAATGAAATGAATTTTATTATTTTAAAATCAATGGCATAGCTGGTTATTATTTCTAAGACCCAAATAACAGAGATTTTGGAAAATAAACATGTAGCAAGAACCATATCTTGGAAATTGTGATTAACTTACTTCAAAATACAGAATGACAAGCTCTTATTTATTTTTTTTATGACTGTTCATCTTTGTGCCATTAAAAAACCTGTGACCACTAGAATTTATTTATAAATCTTCCTAATATTAATACTAATTATTTTGGAAAACATATAAAGAACTAAAGTCCAACACACCAAGAACACACCAAGAATTTATAGCAGCAGTTAATAAGGATTAAAAAACATTACTAAATTTTAAAAATGTAGCTCAAGCTCATACGTAGAATACTAGAAACTAAAATCTCACACCTACCTAGGACAAATACCAAACAGAGACAATGACTAAAACCAAACAAATTATTAAGAAAGAAGAATATCAACAAAGACATGAACCTATAATTTAGAAATTTTATCAAACTTCAACTCCTAGCCATTACTAAATACCATCCGGACTGCCTTGTGATAGTTGTCGAATTAAAAACAAGTAGCGCATATCTTGAGGATATATCAGAAATGCTCTGGCTTTTATAGGATCTCCATTCAAGTATTCAAAAGCAGTCATATCAAGCTCTTCAACATCCATTACGGCCTTGGAAAGTTACAAATAATCTATGCAAGGCTTACTCTACTTATATGCATCAGCCAATCTCACCATGTTACTTGCAATGGCAACCATTGTTTCAACAACAAGCTCCACACCTTTTGGCTTCTTTGACTACTCTGTCACTAACTTTGAAGATTTGTGGTTGCGCTTGCCAAGTGTAGGTTTTTGGCTACTAGTATTGCCTTGTTGAGTTGCAAATTCATTTCATTCTATGTCACCCACGTCGTTTGCCACCATGTTGTCAATGGGATCGAAGAGATGTGAATACTCATCCTCACTATCGTTGGTTT